CCGCCGCCGCCGCCGCCGCCGCCGCCGCCGCCGCCGCCGCCGCCGCCGCCGCTGCTGCTGCTGCTGCCGCCGCTGCGGCTTTGCTCTCTCGTTTGTCCCCTCTCGTGAGGAGGAGAGCTTTGCTCTCTCTCTCTCTCTCTCTCTCTCTCTCTCTCTCTCTCTCTCTCTCTCTCTCTCTCTCTCAAACGGTCCTTTGTATGAATTCAGCAGGGGTACAAACATGCGGTGCTATCCATGATAACCTCCATCCCTTAAGCCCCAAAACTCACCACTCTTCACCCCCCCCTGAGTGACCCTCTAGCCCTCCAGCGTGTGGAGGATGTCCCCCAGGTGCAGCGGCCAGGGGTCCGCTGCCATCTGGGGGTGCACTGCCTCGATCCCAGCCCTGGCCTTGGTGTGCAGGGCATTCGCCTGGGAGCGCTGGAGGGCCACTGACCAGCGCTGGCTGAAGTGGCAGGCCATCTTCTTGGCCGATTTCGCCGGGGGGTTGGCCCTGAACCGGTTCCTAGCTGCTGCTGTGGCCAGCAGCTTCAGGAACGCAGTCGTGGTGGGCGCGTTTGCCCCGTAGGTCTTGACGGCTAGGGCGCAGAACACCACGTGTTCCGTGTGTCGGTAGTACTCCCTCTCCTTCCGCCTCTGTGCCTCTCTAGCAGCCCAGCCTGGGGGTTTGCGGGCTGTGGGGTCCCGGTTCTGCAGCACAGGGTCTCTCTCTCCCTCTCTCTCTCTCTCTCTCTCTCTCTCTCTCTCTCTTGCTCTCTCTCTCTCTCTCTCTCTCTCTCTCTCTCTCTCTCTCTCTCTCTCTCTCTCTCTCTCTCTCTCTCTCTCTCTCAAACGGTCCTTTGTATTGATTCAGCAGGGGTACAAAAACATGCAGTGCAATCCATGATAACCTCCTTCCCTTAAGCCCCTTAGCTCACCCCTCTTCCCCCCCCCCCCTGCGTGACCCTCTAGCCCTCCAGCGTGTGGAGGATGTCCCCCAGGTGCAGTGGCCAGGGGTCCGCTGCCATCTGGGGGTGCACTGCCTCGATCCCAGCCCTGGCCTTGGTGTGCAGGGCATTCGCCTGGGAGCGCTGGAGGGCCACTGACCAGAGCTGGCTGAAGTGGCAGGCCATCTTCTTGGCCGATTTCGCCGGGGGGTTGGCCCTGAACCGGTTCCTAGCTGCTGCTGTGGCCAGCAGCTTCAGGAACGCAGTCATGGTGGGCGCGTTTGCCCCGTAGGTCTCGACGGCTAGGGCGCAGAACACCACGTGTTCCGTGTGTCGGTAGTACTCCCTCTCCTTCCGCCTCTGTGCCTCTCTAGCAGCCCAGCTTGGGGGTTTGCGGGCTGTGGGGTCCCGGTTCTGCAGCACAGGGTCTCTCTCTCTCTCTCTCTCGAATGGTCCTTGCATTTCTTTGGGGGGTGGTACAACGGAAGGTGCAAAACACACAAGCACAAGCTCAACAGAAAACCGGCATCCTAACTATTCCAAGTCCCCTACCTACTCTGCCCCCCCCCCTGTCCGACCCTACTGGTCGAACGGGGCCTCAATCAACTGGTGCAGCTGTCCCTCACTGAGAGGGATGATGGGTCCTCTAAAACCGAGCTCGTCCGCCGCCAAGGCCTCATTGGTCTTGGTGCGGAGGGCGTTGGCCTGTGCCCGCTGGAGGCACACGCTCCAACGCTGGCGGTACTCCGTCAGAAGCTTCGCTGCTTCGTAGGAGGTAGGGGTTGCATTAAACCGCAGCTTTGCCGCCAGCTCCGCGCATTGCCGCAGGTAAGCCAGCACCCCCGGCGAGGGGTAGCCGTATGTTTCCACTGCGAGCGCGTGGAACCCCACCCATGTGTTCCGCTGTGCGTACTTCTCCTCCTTTTTTGCCGCTGCCGCCCTAGCTGCCCAACCAGGAGCTCGGTTGCAGTTCTCGTCCTGGTATGACATCGGGTCCGTCACGGTCACGTCGCACATCCAAACCTCCCCGGTCAGTGGATGACGGATGGTGACATCCGCTTTTAGGTTTTCAACCAGTGAGTAGACATACGTCTCCTTATGAACCGTAAAACCCGCCTCAGCCCCGCATAGCGTGATGGGTAGCGGTCCTCCCTTTCCCCTTCTCGCAGCGCATGAGGTGGTTGGGGAGGCGGTCGTCGGGGAAGGTGGTGCGGTAGCGGCAGTCACAGCGTCTAGGCACTGGGAGGGGGAGGCCTAGGCGGAAGGCCGCTGCAGTTGAGAGCTGGGAGGGGCCCATTCGGAGCGAGGGGATGAGCGGGATCGCCAGCAGCCAATCCCCCGCTCCTGGGCCTAGCACCGACTGCATCCGTTGCGCATGGCCTGAAAGGGGGTTGGGGCGCATCCGCCTTGCCTCGCGCATGGCCCTCAAGAAGCGGCGGGAGTGAACCGCCAGCGCTAGGCTCTGCTGTAGCTTCAGTCCCTTGGGGTCTGTCTTCCCGGCCTGGAGCACCTCGAGAGCCTCGGGTGGGAGAGCTGCCTCAGCCGCGGCGAGGCGTGCAGGCAGCGCGTGCGGGGAGCCGTGGGTAGGGTCCAGTAGGGGGAGGAGCGCGGCGACAGCAGGGTGTAACGACTCCTCCAGGGAGTATAGAAGGTGGGCGGCGCTGATCACTGAAGCGAGGTAAGCGTAGCTGCCTTCAACGGCGGGGTCAGTGATGCCCAGGCCTCCCAGAGTCACGGGCAGGGCCGCCTGCCGCCAAATCCTCCGCCTCTCCCGGGCACTCCTCGGTCTCATGATGTGGGCCGAGTCCAGGAAGGTGTGTAGGAGCTGCTCCGCCCAAGCTGACCATTCCGCTTCAGGGAGAGCTTCCAGGGGGGTGTTTCTGGCCAGAAAAGAGGCTCGGCGGCTGAAACAGCGGGTGAGGAGGAGGAGGCTAAGCTGGGGGTCCATCTGGGCCAGCAGGGGGAGTGGGGATGCTGCTACTGCCAGTCTCTCTCTCACGGCGCCCGCGCACCCCTGGGGTGTGCCAACCGGGCTGCCGAGAATCTGCAGTCCCTCATCAGAGATAGTAATTCCCGGAGGCACTGCAGAGGGGTCGATTGGAGCGGCGGACCACGCCGCGCATTTGGCCGGGTTGTGTACCAGGCCGAGGGCGGCAAGTGCGGATGTGAGGTGGTCGAAAGCTGCTGTGCAGGCCGAGGCGTCGCCGAGCAGCGTGATGTCATCGGCGTACGCCAGCAGGACCACCTGAGGGTGTGCCGCCGCCGTGGCAATGAGGCACGGGTGGATGCTTGCCGCGAACAGGAGGGGGCCGAGCGGGTCCCCTTGGCGAACTCCTCTGGCGCTCTGCAGCGGGGCTGCGCCGAAGTCGTGGTCGAGGTAGAGCGAGGAGGGAGCCCCGTAGGATAGGCGAACGAGGGGGATCAGCTTCTTCAGCGCCTCGTTTCTCAGTCCTTCGAACACCGCTCTCCTTTCGACCGCGTTAAAAGCGTTCGCGAGGTCGATCTGCAAGGCCACTGCAGCAGGGTGCACTTCCAGGTACGTGCGAGCGGTGTGGATAGCCGCTTCGATCCCCCCTGCTACTGCCACGCCGAATTGAAGGGGGGCAAGGTGAGTACGGGCGGCTGGCGCGGTCAGGAAGAGGGCGGCCTTTGCTATAATCCGGAGTAGACACTCCCCCACCGCTATTGGCCGCGTCCCTCCTTGGGGTTTCGTAAAGGCTAGCAGGCGGGAGGCCGTGAGAAGATCCCCCGCGGCTGTTGGGAGTTTCCCTGCTAGAGCTGTGTTGGAGAGGGCGAGGAGGTGGGAGAGTACTTCGGCATTCCCTAGGGCTGCGTCGCGGATATGCTCGAAAGTGGTTCCTGAGGGGCCGGCCCCGACTCCGTTGGGGAGCTTGGCGAGGAGGCGCCTGAAGTCGCGGGCTTCGATAGTGGGTGGGTCTTCAGCCGAGGCGGTGTGGAGCTAGTCAGGGAGAAGCTGGCTGGCAGGTGGATGTCTCGTCGCGAGGGCTTCCAGCACTTCAGGTGAGGCAGGTGACACAGGGGTGGACTGGAGGGATTGGAGTGATTTTGACAGGTTACCTCGTTTTGCCAGACCTTCCGCCCGTGCCAGTATTCCAGTTGTGTCGAGTGAGTGGCGAGGCTGCGGAGGCAAGGAAATCGCCTGGACAGCTTCTTCGTATAGGTCCGCCCAGAGCCCTTGGCGAAATCGCAGGAGCCGATTCATCATCGCGCTCCAGTCAGGTTTACGGGCTGACGAGGTGCGAAGGAGTATGCGCGGGAGAAAGGTCAGTAGTTTCCATCCTGGCGCAGACTCGGGATTGGCCGCCAGGTGGAGTAACGGCGTCAACATACAGATCGCGAAGGAGTCGCGAAGGTCTTTGGGGGGGTGGCGAGCGAGAGGAGGTTGGCGACTGTCACGCAGCGGGTCGAGGTCCCAGACTGCAACCTGAGCGAATAGCTCAGAGTTTTTCGCCAGGTCGTCAGGTTTGAGCATCGGGGGGGTTGGACTCGGGGCTGCGGAATTTTCATTGGCTGTTGCAGAGTCAATTCTTTCTTCTGGAGCGGCTCGATTTCCCCTCCTTGCTTGAATTCCCCCCGCGGTTCGATTCCGAACTGAGGTTCGGTTTGCAGGTTCACCTCTGGCCTGCTGGTTTGGGAGCTCCGCTTCCCGCAGCAGCTCCAACTCTTCCTCGTCCTCCTCGGCCTCTGCTTCTAACATCCCCTCGCTTTCAGGGTTAAAGGCAGGGTCCCCCTCTTCACTTTCCTCATTCTCCGCTTCCTCCTCTGCTTCCTCGCTAAGTGGTTCCACGTCGCCCTCCGCGCCATTTCGCATCAGCCTTTCCACATTCCTCGCGTAGCCGCTTGCACCAGATCGGCGCCTGTTCGAACCTCGTGCTCCACCACCTCTTCGTCCTCTCTCGTTGCCTCGTCGTCCGCGGCGGCTGCCGCGTCCTACGCGGATTCCCCGCGTTGCTCGTCCCACAGCAGCTCCCTCGCGCCCTGTCTGCGGCGCCGCGGCCGTCTCGTTTTCGCTTCGTCGCCGCACTGGCGTCGGCTGCGGTAAGATCGGGGGTGATGGACCCATCCGTGAGACGGGATCCGGAGCTGGAGGGTTCCGCAGAGAGCTCGCTACCGCAGCCTGCGCCTGCCGGGCCTCGTCCGCGTCTCCCTGCGCACCCCTCCGCGAGCGAGCCCGTGCACCACTTCGAGCGGGTTCAAACGCTTCCCCATCGTCCTGCCGCGCGCCCCGCCTCGCCGGAGTATTCGTGGGCGCCTGCTCGTGTTGCGTCGAACCGCCCGGACGGTCAGCCGCGGCAGGAGCGCGGGTGCTCGCCTCTGCGGCACCCTCAACAGCCGCCCTCTCCTCGCCGCCCTTCTCCTGAGCGTCGCGAGCACTATCAGCGCGGGGAGGGGGGTAAGCGTTCTCCTGCACGTCCTCGCTCCCCTCGCCGCCCATCCCCTCGTGGTCAGGCAGGCCAGCGCTCACCGCGAGCGCGATCCCCCGCGCAACGTTCTCCTCGGCGATCTCCGGCGACGCGGGGGAGGGGGTCGCCTGGTCGTCGCTGGGATTCGGGTCGCCGCGAGCAGTCCCCCCCGCGTCCACATTCGGCTGGTTCCGGGGGACGGCGGGGCTGGCGGAAGGGCGGAGGGCGAGGCGGGAATGGCAACCAGCCTGATCCAGCCCTCGATCATGCTGCGGACACGTTCGTGGAGGTGGTGAGGCAGGCCCGGGCGAGTGGGGCGCCGACTCACGTCCATATTGAGGTGACCAATGGTCCCCCCTTCGCCGCGGACCCAGGCCAGGACGCTCCTCTGCGTGCGCCGACGTTGCGCGAGTATCAGCCCGCGCGTGAGGGGAGGGCTCAGTTCCGCACCCCCCGTCAGGTTCCCGGCTTCTCTGCGCCGCGCTTGGCTGTTGGCCGGACTCCTGGCTGGCCGGCAGCGTTTCCGCGCGAAGCGCAGACTGCACCTCTCCCCACTCGCGCGGGGAGAGACCCCATGCTGACCATGTGCCGGGTTCTGAATCTGGCGGAGGCGTGCGAGGTGGTGGCGAACTTGCAGCTGGCGGTGTGTGGGGCCACGAGGAGCTTTCCGAGCAGTTTTGGTCCAGGGACCCGAGGATCCTGCGTGACTTTGGCAGAATCACTCGAGTCGCCGTTGGCACCCGTGTCGGACGCGCCCGCTGGGGTAGCTCCCTTAGCCCGTACTTTCCCCTGCCACGTGGGGGATCTTGTAAGGGCTGCTCAAGCCGGGACCCCCTTGGACACGCTCCAGTCGTCGGCGCATCTCCTTCTTGCGTTGTCGGCGTGCATGCGCTCGATGCTTGAGGTGGAGGGGGCGGAGCCGTACACGATGTAGGCCTCCGCCGTGTGTAGAATTGCATGCCGCGCCTCTTGCTCCTGCCCAGCTCCTTGCCTTTGTGTGTGTGTGTGCCCTAAATAAGCCGATCCTCCGTTTTGTGTCTTGCCACCAGAAACGCGCGGCCGAAGGCCGCCGGCGCGAGCCGCGGAAAACTGAGAACACACGAAATAATGAGGAGAAGAAGGCACCAAGGGCCCTTAAATAGGCTCAGAGGAAGAGGGCCGAGGGAAGAGGAAGAGGGCTGGGTGCTAAGTCCTCTCTCTCTCTCGCTCTCTCCAGCCGCGGAAAACTGAGAACACACGAAATAATGAGGAGAAGAAGGCACCAAGGGCCCTTAAATAGGCTCAGAGGAAGAGGGCCGAGGGAAGAGGAAGAGGGCTGGGTGCTAAGTCCTCTCTCTCTCTCTCTCTCTCTCTCTCTCTCTCTCTCTCTCTCTCTCTCTCTCTCTCTCTCTCTCTCTCTCTCTCTCTCTCTCTCTCTTCCATGCCCCTCTCTGCTCCTCTCTTTCCTTCCACACTCTTCCATAGTGAAAAGAAATGACAAACGGAAATACACACACACACACACACACACACACACACACACACACACACACACACACACACACACACACACACACACACACACACACGTATTCACCTTGGAAAGGTCCCTCGTGTTCCCACCTCTCCCATCCCATATGTGTGCAGGTCTCTTGGGACCCTGCCACTGCTGCCACCGCTCATGCCCATCTGCACGTGAGGGGCGCAGAGGCTAGCACTGCTGCTGCTGCTGGTGGTGGCGGTAGTGCTACTAGTATGCCTGTGAGGAGTGAGAAGGAGATGCAGGAACGGCGCCAAACAAGAGAGACAGGCGGCGACGCTGGAGACAGCAGGAATGACAGCAGCAACAGCAGCAGCAGCAGCAGCAGCAGCAGCAGCACTGATACCAGTGAAACCGCAGAAACCAGCACTGATCCCAGCACCACAACCAGCACCAACACCAGCAGTAAAATACCCACAATACGCAGCAACAGTAGCAGCAGCAGCAGCAGCAGCACAAGCCACGGTCCCAGGGAAAGCAGCAGCTTGCCTCGCCCTGTGATGGTTTTCCTTGACCTTGAGCCACCCCCACCACCACTGCTGGTGCCGGGTAGGGGGAGGGGGAGCGGGAGGGACGAAGGCCGAGGAGAAAAGCCCAATGATGGTGCTGCTGGTGATGCTGGTGCTGATTGGGATGTGTTGATTTCATACCACAGAGACAGTGACGTTCAGGTGAGCCTTGAGCATGGTGTGCTGACAAGGGTGCAGCTGGTGGTGCTGGTGCTGATTGGGATGTGTTGATTTCATACCACAGAGACACTGACGTTCAGGTGAGCAGGGGGCATGGTGTGTCGTCGAGAGCAGGTAGCATGGTGTATTGCCGACCCTTGGTCACACATTCTTGAACAATGCTTTCAGTAGGAAATTCTCTTGAACAATGCATGTATGTACCTTGCCTTGTGCTGCCTTGTGCTTCCGTGTCACCTCTCATCTCAACTCTGTAACCTCATTCCTCACACATCCGCCTCCCCATGCCTCCTCCTCCCCATGCCCTCTTCTCCCCGTACCCCCTCCTCCCCATACCCCTTCCTCCCCATAACCCTTCCTCCCCATACCCCCTCCTCCCCATACCCCCTCCTCCCCATGCTTCTCCCTCCTCCCCATTCCTCCTCCTCCTCTCCATGCCTCACAACCAGCTGACCTACGTGGGCATTAACGACGACCTCACACGCCCTCACATGCGCTCCGCTACCAAAATGCAGGTGCGTGTGTGCCACGTGCGTGCATGTTTACATGCGTGCGTGTGTGTGCATGCGTGCGTGTGGTGCATGTGTGCATGTGTGTGTGTTGAGTGTGTGTGCTGGTGTGCATGTGCTGGTGTGCATGTGCTGGTGTGCATGTGCTGGTGTGCATGTGCTGGTGTGCATGTGCTGGTGTGCATGTGCTGGTGTGCATGTGCTGGTGTGCATGTGCTGGTGTGCATGTGCTGGTGTGCATGTGCTGGTGTGCATGTGCTGGTGTGCATGCATGCACATGGATAGGACCATCTCACATGCGCCGAGGCCATGTCCGATGTCCATGCATTAACATGCAAAAACTTCTGTTCCCCCTGTCCACATTCATAGTGTCCCATATCCGCCCCTCCATCCAGCATCCTTCTGTTCGTTTCTTTCTTCGTGCATCACAGCTTCCCATCTCTCTCTTAATACACAGGCAATCATTATTCCTGTGACTCTTAATTCAATCGCCCCCCCTTTCTCCGTTTCTTCTCAGCCCGAATTCATTGTGACACAAATCTTTCAGGAGTGTCTCTTCACCCTCCCCTCTTCTCCCTTTTTTCCCACTTCGTTATTCTTCTCCCTCATTCTCCCCCTTCATCCCATTCCATCGCCCTACATCCCCCTTCATCTCCTTGCGTCTCCCTCCCCCTTTCCCTCTCCTATCCGCATCCTAATTCAGTCCACTCCAAATCTCCACCTGGCTTCACGCTGCTCTCCCACATGGCGCGATGACCTGGCGACTGCTGTGCTGGCAGCACTGCCACGTCATCACTCCTTTGGAGCCTGTCGCAACAACATGCGGCCAATCACAGAGCAGAAGGCACACCCTGGGTGCAGGTATGACCCTTCTCCTTCCTTCCATTGCCATTCCCTCCCTCCATCCCCATTCCCTCCTTCCAACCCTCTTCCCTCCCTCCATCCCTGTTCCTCACTCCATTCCCTTTCCCTCCCACCATCCCCTTTCCCTCTCCCCATGCATCAGATCGGATCCAGACACGTGGCAATCTCGCGCACACTGTGTAATGTCCCGGTACAAGTTTGTACTCGCAATAGAGGGAGCCGTACTCCCTGGATACGTGACTGAGAAGCTCTTCATTCCCCTAGAAGCCGGTACTTGCCACTGTCCTTAACCTCCGTGCCGTAATCCTTATGCCTTATCACTCCTTTTTTTTGTCATCGTTATTTTTGGTCCGGGCGTTCAATTTCTGCTTCAGCAGCTCTCCTCTGTTTCTCGTAGAATGATGCCTGTCGGTGTTGTTGCTGTGCCAGGCTCTGTACCAATCTACTATGGAGCTCCAGATGTCTTTAACTATGCGCCTCCATACTCTTTCATCGATTTAAGGGACTTCTCCAATTTTACACAACTGGGTGCTCTTATTGAGCGACTCAGTAGCAACACAAGTGCGTATCAGCGAGGGAGTGTTACGTCATTCTTAATGTTGTCTTTTGCAGGAAGATATGGGGAGTGCGGGTGTAGAAGAGCATTAACACTCCAGAAGCCATTATTACTCTCTTCTTCCGCTCTGTCTTACCACATTCCTCTTCCATACATAATCTGTTCCCACAAGTCCTCCTCATGTCACCTATCAATGTTTCTTTTATTTTCCTCCCTCTTCCCCTCGTGTTCCCTTGGCACCCCCACATCCCCCTTCCTCATCCCTCCCTACCCCCCCCCACCCTCCCCCACCCCCCACCCTATTACTCTCGGACTACGTACGACTGCATGCTCATGTGTTATGTGACCATATCAGGTGAGTATTTGGACTACCATGCATGGCGAATCTGTGGCCTCCCTGGCAATTACCAGCATGCCACTGAGCTGGGCATTAGAACCTTACCTTGTCGGCTTTGTGAAATTGTTGCCAGATGTATACATTAGCTTTGCGTATTGGAATTTTTTGTTGTGAACAGCATATATGGGACGATGCCTTCCCGTTAGAGTATTTGTTGCCAATATCATTACGTTGGCCACATTCAAGGTTTAGAGGAATAAAACGTACATCTCCAAATGTTTGTCTGATTATTTTTTAGTATCGTTACGTACTGAATCGTCTTATAACCATTATGGTCTGGATGGGTTTGCTGCGATCACCGTAGATTTATGGGGTGGTGTGGTGCTTTTCAGTAATGAAGGGGTTGTCGTCCTGTGATTCGCCCACCTCTGGTTGATCACGCGTGTCACGTGTGGACAGTCTGACCGTCAGGTTGACGACACGACCAGTCTTTGTCAGGCGGATGACTCAATCATCTCGCAATTTAACGTCGCTGTGTGTGGTTACTCTCTACATGTGGTGTCAGATTGTTCGTAAATCATCCTGCGACATTAATGCTGCGATATGGACATCGCATCCCATTTCGTTCATGCGGCTGTTTGTCGTCGCTGCGACTACGTGCTGGAACATTGCGCGCCACCTGAAACCTGCCAGACCTGCTCCCCGCGTTGTGGAGAACCATGTGGCAGATATCGGTTGGGTTTGGTCACCTTTGGAATCCGCCACCAACCAACCAACGAACCACTGTTGTCACTGATCGCGCGCTCACCCTTTCGCGCAAGTCCTGCCCCCCTACAAAGCTGAACAGATGGGCGGAAAGGAGGAATCCGTTACGCAATTGCGAGTTCCTCCCCCTTACGCAGTGAATTTTCACACAATTATGCTCGCCCTTTATGCTAGCCCTTCCCTCCACCTCTTTTTCCTACACAATTATTCCCCTCGTTCCTACCCTGTCCGTCCTCCCCTCAACTCCGCGACGCGTGGCGCGATCTGCTCACAACGAAGATCCCCCCGCGCGCTGCTATATCTGAATGAGACAAGAAGCGGTTGTTACATATAGCCTTCGGTGGAATTCGTCCGACATGTCGGCTGAGGCAGTCAAGCGTTCGCGACGATGACGAAAGAACCTGAGCACCCTAAAGGCGAAATGCCACCTCCAAAGCTCAAATTCACCCAGTCGCCGATTGGAAAAATTTGCGCGACGCGCCGGCAAGCAAACTTTTCTGAATCCTATCAACCGAGCTCGCACCGCAGATAGGGCGACCAAACCTCATCAAAATGAGTTGATCTACACGCGCTTTTGCGATTGTAACTGCAAGTTTTGATGTGTGGGAGTCGGTGGTTCCTCTCGATTTCACTATTTCGGTAGCGGGAAAATGTTTGGCGCGTGTGTCACGCTTCTCGTCTACATTCATTTTTTGCCACGTGTCCACCGCGATTTACTGATTCATTTAAGGAGCACAAAATTTAATCTGGGGCCGACAATAAACCCCGAAATACAGGGACGCAACTCGGGAGGCATCAACCCTAAACAAAGATGTCAAGGTGTTTAGGCCTGATGCCTCGAATATGGTGCAATTCGGGGGGTATCAACCCTAAACACGGGAGCTAGCAAGGTGTTTAGGGTCGATACTTTGAAAGCGGTGCCTGGCTCCCTAGGGGTTTTAGTTTGTTTTACACCGTATAAAAATCAAGACCTAAAAAATCAGCATAAGACAAGCCTTGTCGGCGCGACCAGACTGAAGTGACGTAACACGTCGCAAAATCTGTCTTTGGTGAAATAATTGAAACCCCATGCTGTGATTTCGTGAATCTGACTGTAAATCCAAATTGCACCTGTAACGCCAGGAAAAGACCGTTTGCAGCATGAATATAACGTAAAAGCGCATGTAGATCAATCCATTTGGACGAGGTTTGGTCGCCTTACCTGCGGTGTGAGCTTGGTTAATAAGATTAAACAAAGTTCGCGTGCCGGCGCGTCGCGCAATTCTACCCGCTGATTGGCCACCACCGCCACCACCTCTCTACAGTCATCCAGGTCGCGGCGCGAGCATGGGGGCAAACTCCCCAATTCCTCCCCGTCCCTCACACACACACAATTCATTTCCCTCGCCCTAAATTCCCCACCCCCTTTCCCTACCCCGCTCCGCTTGCCCCTCTCCCCACTTTTTCCAGAGAGTCTTTTCCCCCATGCTCTCCTCTCACTGTTCTCCTCCCCTTTTCCCCTCCGCCTACCCCTCCCCGCCCTAAACGAACTCTCGCTCTGCTTCGTGTGATCAGTTCTCTTCACCGAACCAAAACAAAACTACATCGCACACCCCTGTGGCGGAGGATCGAAGTTCATTCCACCCGTCGCATCAAGCACCCACCATTATTGTGACTACCATTTCTCCTAGCTCTAGCGTCCAAGTCATTCCAATCTCGAATTCCTCGCCAATTACGCTCGAATTTTATTACCCAGCATCAGTCTGTCTTCCACATTCTCTTTCAGACAATAACTTCAGCGTTCAGCTGTCATATTTCTCTTTCAACATTCTACTATTACCTTGTCGTACCTTGACCTCCTCCTTATCGCCAGCAACAACAGTCATGTTGAGTCACCTTCCACAGCCTTCCCAGCTGACCTCCCCTTCACCGGCACCCCACCGACAGCCCTACGTCTTCGCGCCGCCTTGCTACAACGACCGTACATCAGAGCTTGTCTCCGTTATAGAGCGGTTTGATAAAGCGGCATCCTGGGACACACAGGCGGCGACCATGGGACAGCAACCAATCACAAGAGCGCCCGGAATGCCTCCGCAGCAGAACCCGTTACAACGCACAACGTCCTCCCTCCCAGTAACGGGTACAGAACCTCCTCTCAGGCGAACCGCCTCAGTGAACCCCCGTGGTGCGGATAACAGTCCACGTGGCAGCTCCGGCGGCAGGAGCGGGCCGTCCTCCCCGATTCGCCTGGGTACAATCGCGACCTTCGAGGCGCCCGGAAAACCCGCAGCCGCAACCGAAACCGCAACAGCAACAACACACACCGAAACCCCTTCCGCCAACGCACCCGCTCCGGGGCAGGGCCTATCAGCAGCGCCTGCCGCGTCGGGGCGCGCACGCGCCGCGAGCGCGGCGACAGCGCCTGTATATTCCGCTTCCGCTCAGCAGCAGCAGCAGCACCCGCAGTCGGAGCTGAGCCGGCGGGCGTCCCGGATCGGGCTGAGCATCCATCAGATGATGCAGAAGCTTCACAAGCTCGCAAAACGTGAGCCCGCCCCTGCATGCATGGGTGCACGCGTTCGTGCGTGCGAGAGTCCAAGCGTGCGAGTGTGTGTGTGTGTGTGCGCGCGCGTGCGTGCGTGCGTGCGTACGCGCGATTGGCGGTGTGAGGGAGTGCGAGTGATGGAGTGGATTCGTGTGATTATATTGTATTAAGACTGGCCCAACTCTGCTGCGCACCTATACTTTTTCTCCCCCTCCCCCTTGCCCTCCTTCCCTTCTCCTCGCTCCGCCTCATCGTGTTCCCTTTTTCTCCCCCGCCCTTCCCTTCTTCCCTCTCTTTCCCCGTTCCTTCTCTGCGCCCAACCATACATGTCTTGAAAACCTATCCAGTTTCGAAGCGCACGTCCATGTTTGACGATCCAACGGTCGAGATTCAGAATCTGTCGGCGCTCATCTCGCAAGACCTCTCCGCGCTTGAAGCCGCGATTTCCGGCCTACAAGCGTTTTGCGCAGCGCAGGCGGGACCGGCGGCGGGGAACGCGGCGAGCTCGGCGGGAGCGGATGCCGCAACGCGGCAGCGCATCGACCTGGGAATGGCGGTGGTGGAGAGCCTGCGAGAGCGGCTCGCGAAGGCAGGGGAGGAGTTTAAAGACGTCCTCGCGTCGCGATCAGAGGTACGGTACGGTCCGCGCGGGACGAGTCGTGGGAGGTCACGGAGTGACGCGTCGAAGAGTGGGAGGACGGTTGTTACGGTGGAACTGCGTTTCCTTATGGGCGGAATACAGGGTACTGGTAGCACTCGTAGCAATAGGAGCAGTAGCGACACTCGTAAAACCTGAATTGCCCTTTAGTACGCGTTGCGCTTGCACGCGTTGGGACTGGGGGGGCTCGGTACGTGCAGCTCTTTCGCCGACTCGGTTCTCAGCATAAACGGGCGTCTGCATAGGGATAAACGAATGCTGTGAGAACCCAGGAACGTCTCCCTAGGGATGCACGAGACGCGGCAGGGGAACGCGAGAATTCACGTATCTGGGTTCTCATTTCGGGAAATCGTTGGTGCAATCCCTCGTTCTTCACCCCACCATGCGTCCCACGCGCCTTGCTCCCCTCCCTCACCATCGTTCTTGCGCTCTCCTCCTTCCTCCACCTGTCCCTCTCTCCATCCCCCTCAGGCCCTAAAAGTGAGCGAGAACCGGCGACAGCTCTTCTCCGCTACAGCCGCCACGGGCCAGAGCGCTACAGCCTGGCACAGCAAGCGCCCCGTGGTAGGAGCCGGCACCGCGCTCCTCCCCACCACCTCCTCCTCCTCCCTCTCCTCCCTCTCCCTCGCCTCCTCCCCCTCCGGCTCCCCCTCCTCCTCCCCCTCCTCCACCCTCCCGGTCTACAACCCCTTCGGCCGAGCCACCCCTGCAGCCACCGCCAGCAACAGCCACACCGGGTACACTCCCAGCAAGAGCAACGTTAACGTTAACGGTAACGGTAACAGCTTGTTACCGACGTACTGCACGTCTGCTTCGGGAAGCAGCGTGCAGCAGGCAGCAGTGGCGAGCGAGCAGCACGCAGTGGTGCTGCAGCAGGTGGAGAGCAGTATGGGCGAGCTGACTGCTGTGTTCCGGGACCTGGCGAATACGGTGGCGCAGCAAGGCGGCGCGCAGGGCGCGCATGTGAAGGGGGAAGGCGCTGCTGACCTGGCCATCTGGTGAGTGCTGGTGGTGGTTCAGTTGTGTTTTTATCAGGGTGGGGATGGGGTTGGGGTGGGAATGGAAGTGGTGGCTGTGGGGATTGGGATGTGGCTGGGGATGGGGGAGAGGGTGGCGCTATAACGGCGCATGTGAGCATGTGAGCATGCGTGTTTAGCTTCTCCGCATGGAAGAGATTGCTCATGTCGTCGCTCTTTCCATTCCCCGGCTCCCCGTCCCTAACCATGCAGCATTGACGACGGGCTGTCAGAGTCGCTGCTGCAGATGCAGCAGACGCACGGTATGCTGCTGCAGCAGTTGGACATCGCACACTCGCACCGCCCCCTGATCATCAAATCCTTCCTCACGCTCGCCTCCTTCCTCTTCCTCCTCTTCGCCTTCTCCGCCTGACCAAGATATCCCTGTCCCTGTTCTTGTTCCTGTTGATGTGCCTTGCACGTCTGACTCTCAAATCAATACCTAGACTTAACCTGGGAGCAGATTTGACTAAATTCTAAATCTGCTGACCTATGAACTCCGTGATTCGTCTGCGTTATATTGGTAATAAGGCTAGCTGTCTGCCAATCCGTACTGCTCTGACCATAAAATGTATCAGTCATATGGTAGGTGTGCTCTGTGTAATTGTTTGGATACTACCATACCTACAACTTATACCTTCTCGTTTGACTTCTGGTCAAGAACCTGTGTACTGCTGGAGCTCCAAACAGTGCCTCTGTAATGCAGTTCTCCGCCCCCTATACATGGATGCATTTCAACAATGACGAGTAATGAGTCAACACTTTCCCAACACTAGTATCTAAAGATCCTCTTTAGTACCATGTGCCACATCCACTATCCCAGGGCCCAGACCAGCCCCTGGGCTAGCCCCTTCACCAGCTGCACCGGCATCAGGAGGATGCTTTGCAATCTCCCGAACCTCCTTTGCCCGAGCCACATTCTCCTGGGTCGGGCCCACACCGGACTGAGGCAGGTCGAGTCCGAGCCGCCTGGCTGCCGAGGACTGGTGGGAACTCGCAGTGTGGCCAGTGGAACCAGAATCACCAGCAGCTGGACTATCATCAGCATCAGCACCGGCTTTATCAGGAGCCTGGGCTTCCCTACCAGCCGTGCTGTCTGAACCAACATCTGCTGCAACCCCGTACTGCTTGGCTAGTGCTGCCTGCTCCCGCTCCTTCTCTCGAAACTCCTGCGTGATCATGTTGCTCTTAGCTCTGTAAGGTTGGATGGATGGATGGTTGGTGAAGTAAGTGCGGAAACTGGAGGCTTGGGAAACTCCCAAGCCGAAGACAGAGGGTATGCGATCGTTGCTGCTGCCGTTCGTGACGTTGCTGCGTCCTGCTTCCGAGGTATCACCAGTGGTGGTGAGATGATAAGCGGAGCTGTGCCGTGTCGCCACAACTCCTCCTCTGAGCGCGTGAGGAAAGGAGGGGCCTCCACCTGCGGAGCGAAGAGATAGCAGCGACGCAGCTGCTTTCCATATAGCCATGTCTGCTCTGACACTCACAGTTTGCCGTCACTGCACGGAGGAATAGGGTGTTCTTCTGGTGAGCTCCCAGGGTACCTCTGGTTGGTTTCCGAAATAACGATGTCTGAAGTGTCTGCAGTGTCTCCAGTTCCTCCCGTCCCTGCAGTGTCGTCAGTGTCCTTAATGTCTCTGAGATATGGTTACAAAGAAAGGCTTCACAAAGCTCTGCCTCTATCTGCCTCGTACTCCTAACCCGCCCGAACGGAGATGAGAAAGGGCGTATTCTCACGCTCACGATCTTCCGTCTCTCGGCACCTCCGGGCCTCCTGCTTGTTGGAGCATCAAGCCGCAATCTGAGCTCATTATTCTCCATCAGTCGCCGCACCTGGCTGGGCTAGAGAAACGTCGACGGGAACTCACGTCGCCTTTTTTCGCCATGGCGCTTCTAAGTGACATGTGCTTGGCTTGATGCCACGTGGCAGCATAGCATGGAGTTGATATTTAGACTGCTAGGGTCTGCGCGTCAGTTGTTGTGAAACACAGGCAGGCTAGTATTGAGGATGTAAGCACTGAATCCTAAAAGGTTGGAGCATTTCTCCAAAATTATTATGTACGAGTGGAAGACACACTATGCATCATCCATAAAGAAATTTGATCATTTTTGTTACGAATAGTGGTTAATGAAAAAAACACTGTTGCGCACTCCTCAACGTAGCAAAGCCGAAGCACGCACTATCGAGAGTGAAGACGAAAAGGCAGAAGAAAAGCGAAGGGACAGACGGTTACGAGGAGCATCTGGACCGTCGGGCAGACAGCATCAGGCAGACAGCATCAGGCAGACAGCATCAGGCAGCAGCAGTGACGAGGATTCTGCCCGAACAGTTACGTAACCACTCGGAGTCGCAGGGTTGGAATTCGCTGCAATAAGGGAATGTACCCCTTAGAGTACATGGCTAGTTAGGTCGTAACCAATTCCCCTGTACTTATATTTATTTTCCTTGTACTGCACGCTTTTATCATCTCAAGCATTTATATTCACTCTGCTATTGAGGTTAAGGGCCCACCACCACTGGACTAGACTTGTGCGAACCTTCCTGAGGTCCTGGTTACTATCACTCCCTGATTCTAACTATTTTCTGCTGATTTTGCAATCAGATAAGTCTTGGACTTAATTGCTCAAAATCCTCTAATGTATACTATATAATCAAAGGATTTGTGATGAATATACCAAATAAAAATTTTACATTATCAAATTAGCTATCTTTTTTTTTGAACTTCTGTAACTTCTATGTTTTGATGGTTTCGTAATCAAATTATTTCATCTAATTCGTATTTACAGGGTTATTTGTCGAGGTGCATGGAAATCCTTTGTGAAGATACCCATAACGAGTTTCTGTATGAATGTTAGAGGGAAGGATTTTCGCGCAGCATTTTGGATAATGAGATGAGCTCATCCGCGAATTCGCGGATGAGCTCGTCAAAATCCAGGGCTCCCATTATGCAACCCACCATTGAACAGGGTCCCAAGGCCAGCAAAATCGATCATTCAGGCCTTTCTGACCCCAGGGCCAGGAATCAACGAGGTTGGACTGACGATGGCTCTCGATAGGGAGGATGGGAGGCCTCCTTACTATGCCTCCTGGCAGGAGATCCCTGTCCGCCTAACGCGAGGCAACCGACTTCTCCACTTCGTTCTCCATACTGTGGACGGTGCTGCAGTCCTCGCCGCAGTTGGCGTTGAACGCAGTGTACGCCACATGATCTTCACCATCCCTGAGACTTTCAGGTACCCTATTGGGGCGAAGAAGGTTCCAAAATCCAAGTACCGTACACGACGGGAACTAGAGGGATGGCTTGAAAGCCTGATTCGCTTGACACCGCCTTCCAAACGACGCAGTAAGTTATATGAATTCTGAAAGGTACTGAAACACCGAAGGTCCTTGACCTGCCATTGACCTTTTTTTCCGCAGGACTAACAGCGAAGGATGAATATGAGGCAGGTTGCCTGTCAGTACAGAATGCCAGTCTGCTTATCAAAGATGAGCCTGCAAACGAAACGGATTGTGCAACGTACTGTTCATCAAGCCCTGAAGAAAGCTCTTTAAAAGTCAGCGAAGACGTGGCGGTAAATTTGATATGGCTTGTTCGTGCACGTTCTGTGGGAGCTCGTCTTTTTCTCATAATTGATCATGTTTGCCTTCAGTTGTGGAGCTTCGTGGAGGCGACGTGCAACGGACGCACGAGAATTGCGTTCTTCAAGCGCCTGATATACGAGAAAGACCTCAATCCCAGAGCGAGCCTGCAATGGTTTGAGAATCCAAGGGATTTGAAGGCCCACTACGGTGTGGAGGTAGCTGACGCTCACGAACACGAGCTATTTTTTACATCGACTTCTGACACTGTTCCGATTGACGCTGTCAAGAGAGTGGTGACGGTTCTATCTCAAGCTCACTTTGCCAAGCGCGCAGCGAGCCTGCTTTCCCGCGAGAAAAGCAGCTGCTTCATGTGCTACCGGAAAGTAGATGGGGGTAAAATTCGCCGAGTTCGGATTGAGAGTTTTCAAGGTTATTACTCCCAGGGTATTCTGGTGCAGGCTTGCTGTGATGAAGCTGCTGAGGTGCTCGAGTCACGAAATGGCAAGGTTGGCCAGAGACTGACGAAACCCCGGACGCAGAGGGTCCCGAAGCACAAATTGCTGGCGTGTCTAAACAGTCCTGAGGTGAAATGCTCTTCTATGCAGTCCTTCAATTTATCTGACTCTGACATGGATGCTGACGAAGCTGATGGCCGAGTTGAGGATGAGGGACAAAATCAGCCTGGGGAGCTTGCTATGACGGAAAAGAAGGAGATATGGGACGCGTCTGTTGGAAGTATGGTTGAGGTTCTGAATGATGACGTGTCACGACTTTGTTGGCGGCCGGCTGAAGTCGTTTTCTCAAGGCTGCTGGAGGTCAAAGTGCGCTACTTCACTCCCAGAAGCATTTCTGGCGAAGATAAGGAGGTAAGGCAGAATCCAGATTCGTTTGCCACTGAGTGTGGTCCAGTGTCAAGCTAAACTGCGCCTGCTATGCAGGAATGGGTCCTTCTGAGGCAACTGGGAGGTGCTGACAAATATGGCTTCAGATATTCACATCGAAACTGTGTCCGACCTTACCAGCTTCATGATTGCGATGGAGCCTTTTTTGAGGACGGAGAACTTGTGGATGTCAGATGGTGTGACAGATGGTGGGAAGCCATTGCTGTTCATTCGTGGACGAATGGCTTTGTCGCTGTGCACTTGCTTGGTAAACCATTTTCACATTCAGCAGGTGCAGACTAATCGCCATCATTCTCACTCATAACGCAAATGCAGGTCCTGGAGATATCAAGTTTGTGCATAAGAAGTTCCTTCGACGATCACGGGAATGGGTGCGAGGTCATTGGGAGGCTGTGAATCCGCAAAAACATTTTGCCAACAATGCTGCAAGTATGCACGTGGACCCAGAGTTGAGAAATTTGTCCAAGCTTCCCCCCAAAGCCATTGCAGGTGAGCTTCAGATCATCTCTTGTTTTTGTCCAATAGCCTCTCTGATGCATTCTGACATGCTATGGGTGTTGTTTTCTGAGGCAGGCCCAGACACTTTAAATCAAAATGGAGTTTCCTCAACCCTAGGCTTCCTCAAGTACCTTCGTGAAATTGTTTGGGAAGCATTGCAGAGAGAAGAATCATGTGACTCTGAACAGGTGCATGGAGTTGACTTGGGCGTGAACGAAGTTTCGGAACACGCAGAGCCAATTTCTGTCTTGGCGTCTCAGGAAAAGTTGATCCCTAAGTCCACGAGCAGGGTGGGTGACGTGATCACTAAGCAAATGTGGGAAGAGTACAGCTCTTGCACGCCAGAAGGGAGCTTGTCATCAGACTTGGCAACACACCATAAAACTCCAACAGGTATGTCCACAAGCTTTTTGACATGCCTGCTATATTTTTCAAGCAACCTGAAACTGTAGATTCTGACTCTATGATGTTTATTATTTTCAGAGGCCACTGTGCGAAACTTGTGCCAGGAGAGCCAGTTAAAACCCTCAACATGCAGGGACAGCAACCTTGTTCAAGAAGGAAAAATCACACACCACATGCTGTCAGATTGTTCCGAAGACAGTTTACAGCACAATCAAGACATGGTTACATTGGAAGTTTCCAGCTCACAAGACTTCTCTGATCCCATTGGATGCGCAAGGCCCCGCATTGGGTGTGCGAGCTCCATCTTACTGCAACAGAACTCTACTCTTGCAGGCCGGCCGTTGTCACCAAACTGGCTGCAGATAGGATTGTCTACTATTCTCGAAAGTCCTCCTCCTAGACCTCAGCCACAACACCACTCAGGCTCACAGCCCCAGGTCGATTCAGAGGCCGATATCAACAGATTTTCATTGCCTAAGGTTGAGCCTGGTTTCTTGGCACTAGACAGCTGCATGCCTGCGGGGCCATGCTACCAGCCACCCTGTGCCACGGAATTCAGTGACTGTTCCACTCAACCACGGCCTCCATCATCATCCCCACCCGGAACTCCTCCACCGCCTCCGTATCCACCTCCAGCATCTCCTTTGGAAGACATTGCACGTCCAGATTTACAGCTGTTGTAACGGACATGTGAATATTCAGTTCTCCCGTTTATTGTATTCTGTATTTGTACATTGCAGCTGTCTTAACGGACATGTGAATATTCAGTTCTCCCGTTTATTGTATTCTGTATTTGTATTTGTCAAATGTTGTAGCCTGTAGTGAGGTTTGTCTTAGGGGGTACAGAAGTTAGGGTTTGTTATATGTACCCCAACCAACATCAATGGAACCATTCATTCCTCATTCTGACATGGTATCAGCTAGGTTAGGATCCTGTGGGATCCCGTTCCTCCGTTCTCCGTTCGTACCTCCCGAGCCTGATCCTACCTCTCGTTCGTACCAGTTCCGTTGTTACCGCGCCTAGTACCGAGCCTAGCGCCCTTTCCCCCGTCGCTTAGCGCCCTTTCTCCCCGTCGCCTCGCGCCCTTTCCCCTCCCCCCCGTCGCGTCGCGCCCTTTCCCCCCGTCGCGTCACGCCCTTTTCCCCCCGTCGCGTCGCGCCCTTTCCCCCCGTCGCGTCACGCCCTTTTCCCCCCGTCGCGTCGCGCCCGTTCCCCCCGTCGCGTCGTGCCCGCCTGTTCCCCCCCCCGTCCCGTCGCCCTGTCCCGTCGCGTCACCCTACCCCGTCGCGTCGCCCTGCCCCGTCCCGTCGCCCTGCCCCGTCGCGTCGCCCTGCCCCATCGCGTCGCTCCCGCCCTTTCCCCCGTCGCGTCGCCCTGCCCTACGCCCTGGCCCGTCGCCCTACCCTAGGCCCTGGCCCGTCGCCCTACCCTAGGCCCTGGCCCGTCGCCCTCCCTAAGCCCTGGCCCGTCGCCCTACCCTAAGCCCTGGCCAGTCGCCCTACCCTAGGCCCTGGCCCGTCGCCCTACCCTAGGCTCTGGCCCGTTGCCCTCCCTACGTCCTGGCCCGTCGCCCTAGCCCGCTCTTCCGCTGCAACTGAGTCCTCTTCCCCCCCGGTTCTTACTCGCCTGTTCGTTCGCTTTAGTTCTCACTATGGCGACTCCGCGAGTTCTTCGTTTCGACGCTGACGGTAGACCACTTGACTTTTCCGTCTGGCTTCTTCGCGCTCGCCGCCTGTTAGAGAGTCAGGTCCAGGGGGGCGAGACCCTCTGGTCACACGCTACTGGTGACCTCCCCGAGCCCCCCGAGCCTACAGCTTTAGGCCCTGCTCCTGACGACGCTGCTACGGCTCGCTTTGCCCGTCAGCGCGCTGACCGGACGGCTTGGACGTCGCGTGACGCTGCGGCCTGCATCGCACTCAGCAGCCTCCTCCCTGAGTCTGAGGAGGTCCACTTTACTCAGGTTCGCACCGCTGCTGCGTACCTCACTGCGATTAAGGCCCGCTACTCTACTCCCGCTACTGTCTCTCTTGGCCGTCTTTTCCTCCCGTTCCTGTTTCCTGATCTTGCCTCGTTTGAGCGCTCTGCTGACTTGATCGCTCACCTCCGCTCGCTCGACGCTAGTTACCGCGCTGCTTGCACTGAGGCACAGCTTGCACTGCTTCCTCCCCCCATGGCGATCACTGTCTATTTCATCGCCACTAGCCTCCCTGACCGCCTTGCCTCCGTTCGTGACGCGCTTCTGCTGAAGCACCCTAGTGAGCTGACTATCGAGGTCCTTGAGTCTGCACTCAAGGACGTCGAGAGCAACCTTCGTTCGGTAGCTGCCGCCTCTGGTACTGTGTCCCCCCACTCTTCCACGGGTGCACAGTCCCACAGTTACCCACCTTCACTGCCTCTCTTGCCAGTGCCGCTACTGACGCGACTGCGGGTGCTGTTACGACTGCGTCGCGGTCCCGCGGCAGGGGGGGCAAGAAAGGTGGTTCTGGTGGAGGTGGAGGCGGAGGTAGCGGAGGTAGTGGGGGTGCTGTTGCGACTGGCGGTGGTGGGAGTGCAGCGTCTGGAGAGACCCCTCGTGCAGCGGCTGGTGACTCCACTGCACCTGCTGGTGGCGGCGACCCCCGAGCTCGTCAGTCGCCTCCTGTACTGCCGGCCCCGCTAGGTGGCGCAGCGGCGTGGTACCAGGCTCAGCGTCAGCAGCACCTTCAGCAGCAGCAGCAGCCCCTTTCCTCCCAGCAGCCTCAGCAGCAGCAGCGTCAGCAGCTGGCTCCGGGGTCGGGGCTGCGTCAGCCCCAGCGCGGTGCGGCTTACCCTCCCTGCCCCTACCAGGTTCAGACAGGTCCTCGTCGGGGCCACCCTTGTGGCCGCTTTCACCCCCCTGGTCAGTGCTTTGCTCAGCTCACTGACACGGTCCGGTTGACCTACGGGGTTGGCGGTCCTGCTCCTGACTGGCTTCCTCTGGTTCAGCGCTACGGCTCCGCTCTATGGGGCATGTCTGCTGAGCAGTTAGTTAATCTGATTAGTGCTCCTCATGCTATGTATGCTGTTGTTGACTCTAGTGTTTCTGACTCTGTTTACTCTGGTGTTGTTAGCTTAGGTGCTAGTCTTGCTCAGTTGCCTGTTGCTAGTGTAGGTACTTGTGTAGACTCTAGACCAGCGACTACCTCAGGGGACGCTTCGCTGTCGTTCACACTGGACTCTGGAGCCTCCCACTGCTTCTTCCGGGACAGCACGACACTTACACCACTTCCTGCGCCTGTTTCTGTAGCGTTGGCTGATCCCACTACGGGACCAGTCACTACACGTCACACTACCACTTTACCGTGTCCTGCTGCTCCCTCCGGGTCTCTTACTGGGTTTCACGTCCCCTCGTTCTCCCGGAACTTGGTGGGCGTGCGACCCCTCCTGAGTCAGCACGTGGGTATGTGGTTTGAGCCTTCTGGAGAGACTGCGGTGTGTGTTGACGGAGACTCTTACCAGCCTCTTGCTACCTTTACTGCTGAGCCGGGCTTCGGTCTCTACACTCTTCACACTAGCCCGCGTGCGCCGCAGCAGCAGCAGCACCAGCGGCCGCACCAGCAGCCCCACCTACTGCCACTGCCCCCGGTTCCCCCCCCCGTTCGGGTCCCCGCGTCTCACCAGGTTGCTTCGTCCCCCCAGGTGTCTGTGTCGTGTCAGGTTCCTACGTCTGTTCCAGTCGCTGCGTCGTGCTCCTGCCGGTCGCTTGCCCACCCCACCGTTCTGTGGCACCACCGGATGGGGCACCCGTCCCTTCCTCGTCTGCGCGCTATGTCTAGTCAGCGTCTTGTCCTAGGCCTCCCACGTGTCTTGCCGTCGCTGCCGCCTTCGCTTGCGCCGCCGTGTCGTCCCTGCGTCGAGGGTAGGCTGCGCGCCACCCCTCACTCCTCCTCCCTTCGTCCGGCCACCGAGCCTTTTGAGACGCTTCACTTGGACGTCTGGGGCCCCGCCCCTCGTCTAGGCCCTGAGCGTGAGCGTTACTTTCTGGTGGTCGTTGACGACTTCTCCCGCTACACCACAGTGTTCCCACTGGCGAAGAAGTCTGAGGTGACTTCTACGCTGATCAGGTGGTTGCTCACCACCGAGGACACTCGTGGTCGTCGTGTCAGCTGTCTCCACTCCGACCGTGGGGGTGAGTTTCGCTCCGGCATTCTCGCTGGATTTTGTCGCGAGCAGGGCATTCGTCAGTCCTGGACGCTTCCAGAGTCCCCACAGCAGAATGGGGTTGCTGAGCGCCGCATAGGCCTGGTCATGGAGATCGCCCGCACCTCCCTGACTCACGCCTGTGCCCCCCATTTTCTGTGGCCCTACGCGGTCAGGTACGCCGTGCACCAGCTGAACCTCTGGCCACGTGTCTCTCGACCAGAGGTTTCACCGACCAGTCTTTGGACAGGGTCCCCTGGTGTTGCGTCGCGGTTTCGTGTCTGGGGGTGCTTGGCTCTTGTCCGCGACACCTCCGCGGACAAGCTCTCGCCTCGTGCCGTCCCCTGTGTCTTCCTTGGTTTCCCTGAGGACTCCTCTGACTTCACCTTTTACCACCCTCCCTCTCACCGGTTCTTTGACTCCCGTGACGTCCGTTTCGAGGAGTCCACTCCGTACTACGTCAGGTACCCCAGTCGAGGTCTCCCGGTTCCTCCTCCCCCCCTCTTCCTGACTGCCGCTCCCCCTCCTGCTCCCCCGGTACAGCCTCCCCCCCCTGGCCCAGCCCCGTCAGGTGTGTCCCAGGCTACCCCTCCTCCTTCGGTAGCCCCTCCGGTACAGCCTCCCTCCCCACAGTCCTCCTCGCAGCGTGCCGCTGGTGCTAGCTCTCGAGAGGTTGGTGCTGCGCCTGTTCCTGTACCGGTTTCTGGTTCTGGGGGTGCTGGTGTTGGAGCTGGTGTTGGAGCTGTAGGTGGAGCTGGTGTTGGAGCAGGAGGTGGAGCTGGAGGAGGCACTGGAGTTTCTGGTTCTGGGGGTGCTGGAGTTGGAGCTGGAGTTTCTGGTTCTGGAGTTGGAGCTGACCCGGTGGGTGCAGAGGACTCTTGTTGTCCGGGAGCTGGTGCTGGTCGCGCGGACACTGGGGGTGAGAGTGCGCCTCCTTCGGGTTCTGGTGAGCCTGGGTCTGAAGCTGGTGTTAGTGCTGCCTCTGGGGGTGGTGCGCCTGGTTCTTCGGGGGTGGACTCTGGAGCTACCGCTGCTTCGGACACTACTCCGCCCCCCCACCCCTACCCGACTAGGCACCAGGCTCGTGTTCGCCGTGCCCGTGACGAGCAGCTGGCGTTGGAGAGAGAGGAGAGGGAGTTACAGCGGCTGGAGGAGCAGCAGCAGTAGCAGCTGGAGCCGCAGGAGCAGCAGCAGCAGCAGCTGGACCCGCAGGAGCAGCAGTCCCAGCAGCAGCCGCGTCC